CTTTCGCTATCGCTCTCTCTCTCTCTCTCTCTCTCTCTCTCTCTCTCTCTCACTGCAGACACTTTTGACCCCAACCTTCCTGAAGAGGGTCCGTCTGCTCCACCTCCAGGCTGGCTGGACAGTGTAACAGGCTACGAGGAACACACGGGCGGAGGTGAAAAACCTTTGTGCCTACCACTCATAATGGCATTAATAATACTAATATTATCATTAAGATAACATTTTTATAATAGAACACAATTATATACACTAAGGCACAACAATAATTTTAATAATAACAAAATATTGTTATTAAGATATTATTATTATAATAATACAATATATACATTAAGGCACTATAGTAATAATAATGATAATAATAATAATAAACATTTTCTTGTTATTGTGCTATTCTTATAATAATACACTATTATATACATTAAGACATATTAATAATAATAATATTTAACAATATAAAAAATTATAATAATAGCAATATTTAATAAAATACAATATTTATTATTATTATTACACTGTTATAATAATAATACACTATTATTTACCCTAAAGCACTATCATAAGAAAAATAATAATTTATTATAAATATATATTATTATTGTTGTTATTATTTTATAAGACACAATTATTATTATACACTGTTATATACAGTATCTTTATATTATTATTATTGTTGTTGTTGTTGTATAATGGCCATTTAGTTATTGTGTGAAAATGCAGAAATAATTAAAAAATTGCTTTTGCATACCGGTTATAGGATGCTTAAAAATGTCAGTATTGGTCAAAAATGTAAAATTGGTGAATATTTAACATCTTGTAAAATCATGTAAATATAGTATGCTATATATGACCTTATATCACCGTTATGTCTTGAATGCCTAATTTTATTTTTATTTTTTTTCCATTTGACATTCTTGTTGTTCTTGTTCATAGACGGTACAGATCAAATCTGTCCTCCTCCGCCAGACTTTGTCCCTAAGCCTGAAAATGACAAGAATGCCTCAGTTCCAAATGTCATGTAGGTACAATATCGTTTTTCTTTTTTTTTAGGAAGTTACAAACATAAAAACATATTCATACTACATTTGATGTGAAAAGAACATCATTATTTTTTTATACTGAACAATGCATATAGATTTATTTATTTGCACACTTACTGACAGGGTGCCCACTGTCTCAGAGGATGTTGCAAGAGATGCTCTACTCCAGTTTGTGGGTAAAAAATGGACGTACAGCAGCAAACCTGCAAAAAATCTGATCTTCAAAGAGCTGAAGCCTTTTACAGTTTACCGTGTAAATCTTGTTATTATCCATTCTTGATCTGGAATGATTTCTGTATTATTATTACATATTGTAATAATTACATGACCATATATTCTGTATCATTTTAGTACCGCTTGGAAACATTCACAGAGTCCAGATCAAGCGCCTGGGAATCAGAGCCGCACACAGGTGCCCGATGACACCAGTACAATGATATGAATCATTAAAAAAAGCCAAAACAGCATATTAATATATTTTTTCAGGTCAGTGTGTGGATGGGCCTCAGAATGGAGTGAGTCCTCCACCGTGGAACGTTCAGGTGTCTTACCCACCCAAATTCACCAATGCCGTTCAGAAAGTCAGGGTCCCGCACTCGTCATTCTTAAAGGTATGCCTTTAAGCAACAAAAAATCCATCAAATTTACCATCAAAACCAACTCAAAGTGTATTTTACCTAATGTGCGTCCTGCTCTTAATTTATCACCATAAGTCAGACTTTTGCTCATGTTTTTATGCCTGTCGGATTGCATCAGTGCATTGTCATTGCAGCCTTGCCACCGTTGTCATGGTAACGGCAAAGTGAGGTGTACCCACTGCCGAGGACGAGGACTGGTACAGTAATTTTAATTATTAATAATATCTGCCAATGTTTTATTCTACTGACTGTTTTCTCCAAAACAAATTCAGACTCGCTGTATGTTCTGTCATGGCTCTGGTCACAGTCGTAACCGACGGTGTACAACCTGCCACGGAAGAGGGAGAAAAAGGTAATTTGAGGGTTAAACTGAAGGGTTAAATGTGTTTTTATATGCTCACATGAAAATAAAAATATCTCACCTCCTTCTTTCAGGTGTGTTTCTTGTCATGGAAAGGGTTACAAAGGCTGTCTCACGTGTAACGGTTACAGAAACCTTGTGCATTTCATACAGCTCACAGTTACATGGTAAATGTGCCAGTAAAATTGCATTTTATGTGGTTTTTAATGCTTTTTTTAGGTGTGAGGTAAGCTACTGAAATGTTACACACTATGGTAGATGCATCAGTTCGTTATTAGTTCTTATGATCTCAGTTCCTGTTTTAGTTACTGTTTTGGTCTGCACAATAATCTGTCCTGTTCATATTGTCATCTGTCCTGTTCATACAGGTGCATCTCAATAAATTAGAAGGTCGTGGAAAAGTTCATTTATTTCAGTAATTCAACTCAAATTGTGAAACTCGTGTATTAAATAAATTCAGTGCACACAGACTGAAGTAGTTTAAGTCTTTGGTTCTTTTAATTGTGATGATTTTGGCTCACATTTAACAAAAACCCACCAATTCACTATCTCAACAAATTAGAATACTTCATAAGACCAATAAAAAAAACATTTTTAGTGAATTGTTGGCCTTCTGGAAAGTATGTAGAGTTAACCCTTCTCAGACCCAGTGGCTCAAATATGTTATTTTGTAACAAGTTGATATTTTATGAAATTCCCTAATGTTACGAGAACAAATTAATCACAAAATGTCAACATAACATAATTCAACTGTTCGCTGTAAGTAATGTCAATTTACCTCAGTTTACATGTAAAACATGAATAAACATAATGGATTTACAAATGACTGCCGCCAGCAGGACCGATGTCTGAAGCACGTGTGAAACAACTCCAATCCCATTGGCTCAAGTAGCCCATGACGTCACAGGCGGGTGCCCGGAAGTATAAGTGGACACCTGCCGAACACATCACCAACTTGGATGTGTGATGGAGACGTGAAAACGGGCAAGCCCTTGGCATGGCGAGGAGACGCAGCATCTCATTCCCTCTCGGGGAACCATGGTTACATGCGTAACCCGAGACGTTCCCCTTCTAGGGAACTTGTGCTGCATCCTCTAGCCAACATTATGGGGAACAGAATGCCCACTAAGCTATGCCACGGCGCATGCCTGTTCATCTGGTGAGAGAGCACCAAGGGAAGCTACAGTCCATCCCTACTACCTGACTAAACTTAAGGGATAAAGGAAGTAGACCATCTATTTAAAAATCCAAAGGGGAGACAGCTAGAAGAGGCTCAGGGAACTGCCTACTTGAAAAACCCCGATAAGAGGGGCAACTCGACCACAGAGTACTTGTAAAAGCCCACATCACAAGGGAGAGACCGGACCTTCAATCAGTGGTTTGCCAACAAGAGAAACACATGAGAACAACATTAGTCCAGCCGCAAAGCCTGATGTAAGCAGTGTCTTAGCGTTCGCCTGCCTCTGCACCCAACTCCTAGAGAGAGGAGGGGCGCGAGTGGCCATGCTAGTCTTCTGATCCTGTCTATGATCCTCAGATTGAGACGGACCAGCCCCCTCAGAGATTTTAGAGAAAGACTTTGGATGGCAGGGAATTAACTTCCTGTAAGGCAGCGGACCACGCCTTCGTCTCCCTGAACTTCTCAACCACTGCCTCAGTGAAAGTGCCGAAAAGCCCGGAAGGTGACAGCAGAGCATCAAGATGAAAGGCTTTCACCTCTCTCTCAAGATCCGTGAGATTTAACCAAAAATGCACCTCCATAACCACCATTGCTTAGTGGTGTGAAGAGCCAAGTCTGTGGTGTGGCGCAGTTCCTCGACTGCCCCAGGGGAAAAACTCTGCCCTCATCTAGGTCTCTGAGTAAGTCAGCTTGGTAAGCTTGTAACACAACCATTGTGTGCAAGGCTCCACCAGCTTGACCTGCCGCCACATACACCCTGCCATCCAGATGCTCCCTGAAGAGGCCTGGATGGCAGAGCAGTCTTTAAAGAAGACGACTCACCCTGGGAGAGAACGCTTGTGAGCGTCCTCTCCACAGGGGCATCTTTGTGTATCAGCTCAGCCACACACTCAACATCAGCGTAATCCGCATGCTGAAAAAGATGCAGCTGAGCTGAATATGGCTTGTCCCATGATCTCACTAACTCCGTGTGGAGACCAGGAAGAAAGGGAAGACATGGGAGTTCATGACCGGCCAGAAAGCGCTTGTCTAATCTGCCATGGGCTGGCTTCTACCTTTCGCGTGAACAGACTAAATCGAGCCTCTTAGTAGCGCACGCCATTACGTCCAACATACCCCATATGCGGAACTGGAGCTAGGAGAAGAGATTAAATTCTCACACGCTCATCTCCATCGCCAATCACTTTCACCAGATGATCCCAATGTAGCGTTATCCTCAGGATTAGATGACCCAAGAACACCTGGATCCCGCCGAGCGCCTCGAGAGCCGGACATGCTCGTACGAACCATGGGTAGTAGGCGCTCAATTCTCATTCCTCAAAAGAGAATAAAGTATACAAGTGCATTAAGCTCCCCTGAGAGCCAAACATGCTCTGTTCTAACTCTAGATTCCCTCAAGAATCAGGCGAGAACAGAAATTGCTGCAAACGCATTGCATTGAGTCTGTTCGACTCCCTCGAGAGGCGAGTGCATTCATGTAAATGCTGTCTACAATCTTGAGTAAAAGGCAATGCCTTACCTCTGCTCTCAGTAGCCCCACGAATGCATCACCATGAGCTCATCCCACTGTCAAACGCACATTCACGCTTATCCACACCCTTCTCAAACCTCTCTGCAGCGAACCCCACGATCTGAGTCTACGCTGTACCTTGGCAGCAGCGGGACCCGAACCGTGAGACGCAGATGATTGTCCATGATCCCTCGAGAAGAGGGACAAACACGAACTGAGCTTTCTTATTTGAAACTTGTCACAATGAGTGCACTCAGAGCCCTCGAGCACCGAACGCGCATGTTCCTCACCAAGACACATAACAGTGTCCTCGGGTGTCAGAAACCTAGGACACGGAGGCACACACTTTCTAAAATGCTCACTTGCCTCAGTTTTCTCAGTCCATGTGGGCCAATGGAATTGGAGTGCTTCAGAAAACTGCTGGTGGCAGTTCCCCATAGTGTCCGCTAGAGGACGCAGTGTGAGTTCCCTAGAAGTGAAAAGCGGCCAGAAAGCGCTTGTCTAATCTGCCATGGGCTGGCTTCTACCTTTCGCGTGAACAGACTAAATCGAGCCTCTTAGTAGCGCACGCCATTACGTCCAACATACCCCATATGCGGAACTGGAGCAAGGAGAAGAGATTAAATTCTCACACTCTCATCTCCATCGCCAATCACTTTCACCAGATGATCCCAATGTAGCGTTATCCGCAGGATTAGATGACCCAAGAACACCTGGATCCCGCCGAGCGCCTCGAGAGCCGGACATGCTCGTACGAACCATGGGTAGTAGGCGCTCAATTCTCATTCCTCAAAAGAGAATAAAGTATACAAGTGCATTAAGCTCCCCTGAGAGCCGAACATGCTCTGTTCTAACTCTAGATTCCCTCAAGAATCAGGCGAGAACAGAAATTGCTGCAAACGCATTGCATTGAGTCTGTTCGACTCCCTCGAGAGGCGAGTGCATTCATGTAAATGCGGTCTACAATCTTGAGTAAAGGGGGACCCGAACCGTGAGACGCAGATGATTGTCCATGATCCCTCGAGAAGAGGGACAAACACGAACTGAGCTTTCTTATTTGAAACTTGTCACAATGAGTGCACTCAGAGCCCTCGAGCACCGAACGCGCATGTTCCTCACCAAGACACATAACAGTGTCCTCGGGTGTCAGAAACCTAGGACACGGAGGCACACACTTTCTAAAATGCTCACTTGCCTCAGTTTTCTCAGTCCATGTGGGCCAATGGAATTGGAGTGCTTCAGAAAACTGCTGGTGGCAGTTCCCCATAGTGTCCGCTAGAGGACGCAGTGTGAGTTCCCTAGAAGTGAAACGGAGAGATAAAGCTTGCATCCTGATGCTAAGTCTTGTAATGGTGCCCCTGGCGGCGGTGATGGGATTGCAACGCAAATGCGTCAGAACAAAGAACTGGCAGTCCACTCGGACATATTTGTGCTCACATTTTTTCATCCTTTGATTAGGTCACAGGAACTTAGTAAAAGAATTTGAAGGCTAAATAAGGTTAATTTCAAAATTACGAGTATTATATGAACATGAGGGTTAATGTTCCAAAGCAACTTAGTCAGGTTAGACGCCATTGAATTTAACATGGATGAAACAAGGCTGTGAGAGATAGACTAGTAGCTCACACTGCATAAATGTCCTAGATCACATATTGTCACAACTCACGGGTTTCAAAACTGTTTTATAGAGTTTTTGTGTACTGATTTTTTTTTTTTGAAAGATGATTTATCAGCTGAACAATTGGTAGCCTATGTTGCTAAACAACAGTGTAATCCACTGAACACTGCACGTCTTCTATCCCTCACCCTGTTACCATTGCTGTCAAAAATTCAATATGGCGTTATCCTGCCCCTGACTAAGGTCTAAGATCCTTTCTAATCATGTTTGATTTAATCAATTAACCTGACAGTGATTCCAAAATATAACACACAGATGTTTTTAGCCTAAGTCACAATGCGTTTTGGCAGGTTTATCCGATAGAGGGCTTTCCTGACCAGGACATCTGCTATGCCTCAAAAGGAGCGATTCAGAATCACCTGCTAAAATATTCTGCTGTGAGCCGCATCCTGCAGCAGGTGAGCAAAATCTGTCCCAGCAGTGTGTGCTACCAAATACACAGCAGAATTAAATTGCAATAAATAAAACATGACTGCAAATGTGAATACAGAGGGTTGTGAGAATGCAATTCCACATTTGACCACCAGGTAGAAGCACAGTCTTGACCAACTTAAAACTTTGAAAACTTGTGTGCATCGGCCTGTTTGAGAATGATGCTTAAAACGTAACATTTCCACATTTATAGGTTAAAATATTAGCAATTTATGATAGCAAATGAATCCGATGATACAAATGGCAAATTCTGTAGCTAATATTCAGTGTTACATTGACATTTTCTCATTCTCTTACAGCGTCAAATGATCGAGCTGGTTCCGCTCACTCATGTATATTACGCTTACAGTGGGAAAGACTATGATTACTTTGTTTTTGGGCGAGAAAACAAAGTTCACACTACCATATACCCTTCTTCCTGTAGCATTTTGTAATTTGTTTTGTGTCTTAACTGATTTTGCAATAATTCATACCTTTTTTCATAAGATTTAAATACAGTATATACAGTGTGTATTTATAATGTAATATGTAGATTAACTGTAAATTTCTATGGAAATTAAGATTCTTTCTCGTCATTCTATTCTATTTAAGCATATAACAGCATGTTTTTAACCGACTTTTATTATTACTTCATTCTGTATATTAAATATACATATATTAGTATTAAAATTAGTTTGAGTACAGTTAATTTTTGGTTCATTTTTGTCATAAAAGTGCAGTTGATTTGCTACATGTTTACAGATTTTCTTGATAAATTTATATATCATTTGATAATTTGAAAGGATTTATGTAAATGTCTTTATATTTCTCAGATTATATACAGGAGAAATATACAGTTCCTTTTTACACATGTTAATCCTAACTCACACTATATGGGGTAAGTTGTCACAGTGGGAACCTGCTGTTTAACGAACCTGATTTGAGAATGATCATTTTGAAATCTAAAGTTAATAAAGCTGCAACATTTCTAAAATTGCAGCAATGAAAAATATAACATATCGTACAAACATTTTAAAAATTATAATTAATGAATTGAGGAAAAAGGTGACAAAATGTGACAACGTAAATTTGACATGAAACATTATTATTGAATATGAATGATTATTATGAATAATGCACACTTGTTCACTTAAAATATTATTTATGATATGACTATATGTTTTTACAGTTTGGATAAAATTCACACACACAAAAAAACAACATTTACAAGGGTTTGAATTAACATACAAAACCTCTGTTAGAGAAAATGCACTTGTGTAACTGGATTTTTAATATAAAATTGTATTAATACTAAAAAACAGGGTTTCTGCAGGTCTTAAAAAGTCTTAATTAGCCCTCCCACAATTTAAGGCCTTCAAAAGGTAAGTGTAAATTCATAAAGTCATTAAATGTTGCATGCACTGTAAATAATTAATATATTCTGTATTGTTTTCTCAATACAAATATCTAAACAACCCTAAAACAAGATTATTTGAGATGCAAAATAAAGATATGAAGTCTTGTTTTCTGAGAAATTGATCAAAATTAGAGTTTATACTTAAAACAAGAACAAATATTTCTCAGTGCGGTATGAAAACTTGTTTTCTATTAAAAAGTAGTGAAGATTTTCAAACTCTGTGTAGTGTTGCTATTGTGCTCTCCCTACTCCTTCAGAGACCATACTGATGTATTGTGTTCCAGGTGTTCTGACAAATAATGCTACCTATCAGATTATGCTACCAACACTGTATTGATCCTACTGTAAGGGTAGGTGTAGGGTTGGGGTAGGTGTACATGTTAATAAAGCCTCACACCTTATTAATATCATGCTGGAAGCATGATCTGATAGCCAGCACTTTTCACTATCGAATAATGCTACCATCTGTTTTGTCGCACAAATCGTCAGAAAAAAACAGCATATGCTGGTTAGGTATGTTTTGATGGGATGCTAGTTTAAGCTGGTCCTTTGCTGGTTTATGCTGGTCATGTGCTGGCAAAGAACCAGCATAAACCAGCAAAAGGACCAGCATAAACCAGCAAAGGACCAGCAAAAGGACCATCATAAACCAGCAAAGGACCAGCTTAAACCAGCAAAAGGACCAGCATAAACCAGCAAAAGGACCAGCAAAGGACCATCATAAACCAGCAAAGGACCAGCTTAAACCAGCAAAAACAAGAACAAATATTTCTCAGTGCGGTATGAAAACTTGTTTTCTATTAAAAAGTAGTGAAGATTTTCAAACTCTGTGTAGTGTTGCTATTGTGCTCTCCCTACTCCTTCAGAGACCATACTGATGTATTGTGTTCCAGGTGTTCTGACAAATAATGCTACCTATCAGATTATGCTACCAACACTGTATTGATCCTACTGTAAGGGTAGGTGTAGGGTTGGGGTAGGTGTACATGTTAATAAAGCCTCACACCTTATTAATATCATGCTGGAAGCATGATCTGATAGGCAGCACTTTTCACTATCGAATAATGCTACCATCTGTTTTGTCGCACAAATCGTCAGAAAAAAACAGCATATGCTGGTTAGGTATGTTTTGATGGGATGCTGGTTTAAGCTGGTCCTTTGCTGGTTTATGCTGGTCATGTGCTGGCAAAGAACCAGCATAAACCAGCAAAAGGACCAGCATAAACCAGCTTAAACCAGCAAAAGGACCAGCTTAAACCAGCATCCCAGCGTCAAAACATACCTAACCATCATATGCTGTTTTTTTCAACAGGATTGGTCTTTAAACAGTCTTAAATAATCTCTAAATATACTGTCCATGTGACAACTAGACCCCATATAGTAAAACAATGGCAGTGCATCGCTTAACTTTCGGCTTGCAGGACAGTAGTTGGGGAATTAATGTTCCCATCAAACTTGAGGTTCTCTTCGGCTCCTCGGATGTTTACTGAGCTGCTGGCGGCGGGTAAACAGCACACCTGCTTCAGTAACACGCACTGGACGGATATGACAGCAGCGAAGCGGCTGCTGCAGGAGGAGTGGCTCTCAGCTCCGCGCGCATCTTCACTCGACTCAACTCGACACCTCACTGACATCAACGCCACACACTGGAATAAACCCATCAGGAGCGAGGAAAACGACGGGCAAATAACACTCGGTAGGTTTTTAAATGTTGTTTGTGGTTATTCTGTCAAATAAATAACCGTGGTACAGTACTATAGGCTATTGATGGAAGATTTATAGCCTACCAGATATCGTATTCATAAGGCATAATATTTACATAATATGTAGGAGTTCTTCAAAAACAAACAAAAAAAAACATGTTTTTACTACGATACATGATAACTTCTGCCATATTTGTTTAATGAAGGCTGCAAAAGTGAAGTGTATATCAGTTGAAAATGTGCTTCTTTTATGTTTGTTTTCATAATATGAAAAATAATGTTGATTTTTACAGGTGTGATCGTTTTAAAAGTCTGTTTTGCAGGAAAATACATTGCATTTATGCTTCACCTGGTTGTTTCTGTGACCCCAAACTGAACTGAAGATGTAAAATGATTAACAGAAGACTTTTGAAACGTTATGTTAACATGTAACATTTGTTTAAAGTCAGTTACAAGCTCAGAAAATTGAGAAAAAACCTCTTAGTATACTTCTTGTATTTAAGCTATTAAAAGGGGCATGGGGGTCTCCGAAGACCCCACACAGGGCATGAGGGTTAATCATTTAATACTTTAAGACAATTCAGTCTGAGTATGTTGTTTGTACAGAATATAGTACAGTTTAATACAGTGTAGCCTCACTCTTGTGAACAGGACAGGACGTACATTGAATGTATTTAAATGTTGGACGTCAGTGATGTTCATTGTCCTCCTGATTCTTTCCTTTTCCTGTTGTGTTGTTCTGATTTGTTTTTTTCCGTCCTTCACATGCTGTAAATTTCCTCACATATATAGGAATATATATATATATATATTAGCCTATATGAGGAAAAACAGCAGAAAAATATTTGACAAAAATCTAAATCAAGTATTCCAGAAAGCCATAACTTCTTGGTTATTTATTTTATTATTATATATACTTTTAAATTATTTTTAGATATTATTTTGAACCTAACCATGTTTTTTTTATTGAGTGCAATTGTTTATTATATTAAAAAATATATATTAATGTTTTTCAATTAATTTTTGTTTATTCAAATTGAGTACAAATTTTATTAAAATCTTTTCAATTGTTTTTAGAAATTGCTTTTAATTTAACAATTATATTAGTAAAAGTATCTAATTGATTTGAATTCAAATCAAATTTTTTTTAATGTAATTTAATTCTTTTTATTAGATGAGAAAAAAAAACTGCAAAATATTTGACCGATACATGGGTGACCAATCAGAATCAAGCATTCCAGAAAGCGGTGATTTCTTATAAGACCAGGTTAGATAGCCAATGTATAAAGCATATGCAAGTTTTGTGAAGTTGACGGATGCTTTGTCAGATTGGCTTTGATTTGAAGACTGATGGATTGCATTATCAGGATGTGTTGTGATACGGCTGTAAGTTCTTGTCAGAGAGGGTTTATGTTTCACACCCACTCTGAGCACTTGAAAGCGAGAGGAGAGAGAGGAGAAGCTGACAGATTGACTGTGATCTGGTTTTGGGAGTAGTCCTCACATGAGAAAAGCCAGGCGGCATCTGCGAGGGCTTATCTGTGCTGGCCAGCACTGCAGCCGGGCTGCTTTTGTTGTTTTTTCTGGACTAAGCTTTGTTCTGCTGGTAACAATAACTCTGAACAGTTACACAGTGTGATTGTTCAGCGCAGGACACTTGAAGTTCTACAGTATTAACCAAAGTGAAAAGGATACTTTTCCTTCAGGTGTGCTTTGATTTACCAGTCAAAAGTGCAGATAAACCTACTCATTATATGATAGTAGTAACTTGGGGGAAGGGTAGGATGATTCCAGGTGCCCTGATCAGAGCGGGGGCCCAACGGGGCCTTTTACTATCCGCCCCAAGTCACTCGCTTGTCCCATTCATGTCCATTAAAAGTTAATAACTAACATTTTTTTATACAACATATTGAAATTATTTGTTTTATTAAATTTCTTTTTATAAATTAACGATATAGAGTTTTTACAAATTGGATGCAATCATTTTATTCAAATATTTATTTTTACAATTTAAATGGCAATATGTTTTTTATTTGTCTTTTTACAAATTGAGTGCAATTATTTATCTTATAAAATGTTTTAAATTATTTTTTTAAAGATTTTTTCTTCAATTATTTATTTTATTGAAATATTTCTTTGTTTATATTAAAATATATGTTTTAAATGACTTGTATTAGAAATTATTTTTATTTTAAACTTTTATTCATCTTTTAAAAATTGAGTGCAGTTATTAATTATATTAAAATATTATATTAACACTAATGTTGTAATACAATACGATGTTTTTCTTTTGTTTTTACAGACTGAGTACATATTTTATAAAAATAAATATGTACTCAGTATTATTACTTAATATTAAAGCAATCAAAGCGTTTGTGGATTCTGGTTTGGTGTGATATCCATCTGACCGGCTGAAGTTTGTGTTAAGGATATCAGATGACATTTTATGGAGTTTAAGGAGAAGTTGTTCACCTTTTTATCCCTTGTGAACAGATTAATCATTTTACTTTTTGGCTCTTGAAAATCTGATATATCAATGTCCTTTGTACTTGCTATGCATATCAACATTTTCTTGGGAATATCCCAATCTTGCACTGGACTGATTTATACTTTCAGATCTGTTTCAGATTATCAGAGCATCTGCATCTGGTTAATGTCTATTTTTCTCTTATCTTTATTCTTCTGGTTGTTATATGTTAATTCGAGATCTTTCATCCAGACATGCATTTGTGATTTACTGCCATGTTGCTGATAGTTCTTTATAATAAATAGACAAAGTAGATGTTTTGTGTATGCAGTTTATTGATTCTAATAATTAGAGTTTACCAAAGAGACCAGATATCTTGGAAATTACACTACTAGTAAAAGTAATATATATATATAATATAAGAAAGTAATAAATAAATAAATAAAAATAAACTGACCTACAGTTCAATCTAACTCTCTTTCAAAGGTGTTTAGGCAGTTTGCTGTACGTCATTGAACTTGTTAACCTGGGCAGGTGGATCTTGGGGAGCAAGCTAGAGATGCTAATCAGCCGTCATTGTATTCTTGTGTCTGTAAAAGAATTGCTCTCAATGTGCGTGTGTTGGCGAGACAGCAAACAACATCCTCAGTAAATGACTCAATAACCCATTGTGGTGCCTCTCTATTATCTTAATTAATTGGCCCTTCTCTCTATCAGCTCAACAATAACAATGCTCTGGCAAACACTGTACTTCCTTCCCACAATGCATCTGTTCGAACCTGCTGTCTGGCGCCAACCCCAGGAAGGTCAGAATGAGGCTGGAAGTGGCTCTGTGTGGGCCAGGGCGAAGGGAAGCTCTGTCTAAACACCCAACCAGCTGTTTCGACAAATAATAGTAACTTCGTCAACATTCAGCCAAACTCAATCTTCAGCCAAGCTAAATTCTGATGTTATTTCTGCTTACAGAGCCCAAAACAAGCACAGTTATCATTGTACTACCAACTGAGATTCACAATGTGTCGGTCATGAGTCATGTATATATTTGTCTTTCATTGTTTCTGAGTGATTTTGTTGTAATCTGCAGTTATTTATTCTTCCAAAATTGGGATGGAGTGTGTGGAGCTTTGCGGAATAGGGAACAGTCCTAGTCACAAACAAAAAAAGACTCAAGAAAGCTCTTTTGACATTCATGATGAGCAGTACTGAATCTAGACTGGCAATATAATGCTATAAAAAGCAATTAAAGGGGTCATATGACGTTGTTAAAAAGAACATTATTTTGTGTATTTGGTGTAATGAAATGTGTTTATGCGGTTTAAGGTAAAAAAAACATTATTTTCCACATACTGTACATTATTGTTTCTCCTCTATGCCCCACCTTTCTGAAACGCGTCGATTTTTACAAAGCTCATCGGTCTGAAAAAGCAAGGTGTGCTCTGATTGGCCAGCTATCTAGTGCGTTGTGATTGGTCGAATACCTCAAGCGTGTGACGGAAATGTTACGCCCCTTACCATACTGTAACGCTGCCTCCCAGCAGGACGAGACTCAGTCCAGCTGCTCTGCTCGTGCACATCCCATGATCGGTTCTCTTTTAGCAGTTCAGTCAATCTACTGTTAGGAGTAACTGAATAACTCGGGATATTGGTTTATTTTGCATCAGAGGGAGTGTCAGGCACGTTTATAAACCGAATAATTTAAGTCATTTGTGGATTAGTGCGTACTGGAGACGCGAACCATTTTAAACGATTCAGTTCGATTTGGTGAACTGGTTCGACCGGTTCACTAAGAAGATCTGGTTAAACAGAACGATTTGTTCGCGATCCGGACATCACTAGACAAGACAAAACCAATAAAACCCATTACAAACGAGGCATTTGTTGCATCCAGTGGAGACATAATTACTGATTATAATGACTTATACTGTCTTTTTACGCATTGCGTTGCATCGTGCCGCATACACATAAAACCATCTCTGCATTTGTGATCGGAAAAATGACAAACAACTGACAAACAACTGAACTGTTCTGGAACAGTGTTGTAAATACAACTTAACCACTGATTTCTAGTCGTGTCCTCTTTTGGAAGACCAAACAAAGTAGTTTCGCTTTCACAACGAAACACACAGAGACTCCACAACATGGCAGCGGCAGCAACAATACTACAGCGAGAATAAAAGTTACGCCTTCTTTCTTTGCCTGAACATTTGGGTGGCGTTATGCAAATCTTCCCACATAGTGATGTAGACATGTGGGGGCGTGTTAGAACGAGCCGTTTTAGGTAGGCGTGGTTGACTCTTAAATTTTATAAAGAATAGCTCTTTGGATTTGAGACTTTAGTCTTTGCAACTTTACAGATCTTCTTTATGCACCAAGAGCTTGTAACACTCCAAAGAGAAAGGAGAAATTTAAATAGCATCATATGACCCCTTTAAATCAAGCTAGAATCACCCAGAAGGCTTTAGCAACTATATATCAACGCTCTGGTAACTTTCCACATGTAGCATTATGTTGGTCACTTTTGTATGA